TGATCTCTGTTTCTGGGGAGGGATCTACTTGTATTGGAGGTGGGACAGGGACCACATTCTGATCTCTGTATCTGAGGAAGGATCTACTTGTATTAGAGGTAGTGCTGCGAAGGTTCACTTGATCGATCCTTGAGGTAAGAGGGTTGTCCTGTGATGAGAGACTGAGTAAATTAGGTTGGTATTCTCTGGGGTTTAACAGAATGCGCAGGGATCTCATTGAGACAGACTCGATTCTGAAGGGTTTTGATGGTGTCAGTACTGAGAGGTTATTGCCCCTGGCTGGAGAATCTAGAAGGCAGGAGAACAGACTCAGGATAAGGGGTGATCATTTCAGAGTGAATTCAGGAGACATTCCTTCACTCGGTGGCCAGGGGGCTGTGAATTATAGGATTCCCCTCCCCCAAAGCAGAGGTGGATGATCCTTTGTTGAATATATTGAAGGCTGTGATCGGCAAAGAGCTTTGTTGCCTCAGGGAATCGAGGGATAGGGGGAGTGGGCAGGAAAGTGGAGTTGAAGATGCAAGATCAGCCAGGTTCATATTGAACAGTGGAGCAGGCTCAAGGGCCGAATGGTCATCACCTTCTCCTAATTGTTGCATTCTTGTGTGTTCTATTTTGCAAAGTAAGCCTGAAATGGGGTTGGAGTGGAGAATGTAACTGCAAGAAAGCAGTGACTAGAAAGGATCGGACCCATCACCATTGAGCGCTGATGTCAGTTTTGTGCAGTCCTGTTGGTTTTTGCTACAACTGCAGGCCTGGGCCTAGTTCCTGGGCAGCCATTGCAGTTGGTGCTATGCCCCCAGAGGAAGCTGGTGTGAGGGGGTTTGTGTGTCTCAGCGGATTTGGTATCTTATTGAAAGGGTTTAGCTGTTTGAGTGATCAGGAGCAGTCACACAACAGGCCAGAAAAACCCATTGCTGCTCCCTGAAACACTTTGTTCATTCTTTCCAGATGGCCTCGTACTTTGGCTATGCTGTAGCAGTGACTGACATTAACAACGATGGGTGAGTTCGCTCCTCTGGGCTGCTTTTCAGAGGAAGTGATTGTTCAAATACCTACCAAGTCTGATTTCCTCTCTTAATCATTCGAGCATGTGTTGGTGTGTTCTGCAGTCTATTGGTGGGTGGGTGGGGGGAGAGAGGAAGAGTAGGTGGGTTTGACGGAAGTTGGGGGCGGGGGAAAGGATACTCTGAAACAGGCCTGCAGCCCTTTCCAATTAAACACTGGACTGCCCACATGTTTGGTGTCCTGTTTCGGGACTAGGAATGCGGGCTCCTAATTTACAGGCCCTCCCCTCCCTGAGATGTGTTTAACATAATAAGCTGTGCCTTGAATGGCTCTCTTCCGTGTTGAAAATGTCAGCAAGCTTCAATCGGGCAGTGCTTTAGATGCCTTCTCCCCTCCTCCAGGCACCGGCAGTGAAATGTTCCTGTGCCGAAGGGAGGCCATTCCAATCATTGTACCTGACCCAGCTCGCTAAATAGCGACTCACTGGGCCCCCTTTTCCCTGCTTTCTCCCGTAATCCTGCAGGCCCATCCTTTTCCAGTAACAGCTTCACTCTGTGGTGAAAGCCTCAGTCGAAGCCAGGCCCAGTATATTGACAGGCGTTCCAGAGCTGAACCACTCTCTGCTCACGTCACATTGGCTTCCATTACTTTCAGTCTGCAGCCTCCCATTCTCGATCCTTTCACCTCCAGTCTCTCTCCCTAACTACTGCCTAGTGAACTGGGGGAAGGGAGGCAGTGGACAAGTAATCCAGGGACCCCAGGTTAGTGGTCTGGGGCAAGGCGTTCAAATCCCACCACCACAGCTGGTGATATTTCAATACAGTTGACAAAACAAAGAACTGAAAGCTAGTCTCAGTAATAGTGACCGTAGAATTCTCAATTTTTCTGCTTCGCTAGGGAAAGAAATCTGCCATCCTTACCCGATC